TATATATATATTTTTATATAGTAAAAATTTCATTTTTTACAACTTAAGTATGGTATAAATTTTAAATATATTTTATATTTATTTCAAATGTGCTAATGAAAGCTACTTTATTAATTTTGCAGAAATTGCTGAAGTAATAGCATTTTTGGCTGGTGATAAGAGTTCTTATATAACAGGTACTTCCATTGAGGTTACAGGAGGATTCTAGTAATGACGATTTTGCGCTAATTTTATATATTTTATGAATTTATTTGCATAGAAAAATAAATAAATATTAGCTTTTATTTCTTTTTCTTCAATTTCTTTGCCTGCCTCCAAGCTTTGTAATGTGTTTTTTGTTTTTCCTCAATAATTTCCTTATACTTCCTTTTATTGTACTTATTAAATTCTGCGTCTGCTAATAATTCCTCTACTAATGTATTCTTCCTCTGTTTTTTAGCTATTCGATTATTATAATAGTCAAGAGGAGAGTCCATTACTTTCCCAATCTAAAAGTATACATTTTATTTATTTGAAATAGAACAAGTACAAAAAAAATTAAATAATTATACCTTGAAATATTTTGGCAAAACTTTCAAATCATTTTTCTTGTAAAACCTTTTAGGATCCAATACAGATCGCATTTGCAATATCTCTAAATCATGTTTTACTTCTTCATTCATTTCTGTAGCTGGCAAGCCAAACCACTCTTTTCCTTTTGTTTTTTGCCTTTCTCTCTAAAATAAATATTTGTTAGATTGATAGAAATGTAACCATACCAAAGTGCACTCCTTTATTTATCTTTAGAACAAGCCAGCCAGACATCAATTGGAGCATTTTATTTTTTCTACATAATATAAAAAATGAATTAATTCCGACATATTAAAAATATCTTTAAATATACAAGTCCTGGATCACAAAGTAAATACTAGCTTGATTTCAATACATTCGAGTATTTCTATATAAAACTAAAATGCCAAACAATTTGCATTCGCATTAAAGAAAACTTGCCATTACTGATTTACTTGAACATTACTCGATAAGAATGTAATTAAATAAATAACAAATTTTAATTTAACTGAAAATGATTTTCATAAAAGCATCGTAATAGACATGCCCTCTTTTAGCTTTGTCTATGCCTACCTTCCTTTGTTCCTTAATTTTTTTTTCTGACACTTCGAATGGAGGAATAGCATGCAATTTTTCAAATTCTGGATTTAACAATATTGATTTGCTTAAAACTTTATCAATGTCACTTTTCCTATCTAATTCCCCTTCGTAATGTTTACGAGGCACCTTTGGATACTTTTTATTAATCTGTCCAAAATCATCAAGGATCTCCTTTAAAAGAATATTTTCCTTTTTATTTTTCTCCTTTGGCTTTCTCTCAACTAAGGTGTCTTTATAGTCTTTTAATAATTCACTTATAAACGATTCATGAGCTAAAATAATTGAATTTGAGGAGGAAACATTAGCTAATTAAGAAGAACGTACCTTCATTCTTTTTTTCACGAATTTCATCACTTTCACCTACAGTATCAATTATGAAATCCATATTTTTAGTAAGTTAAGAAAGTACACATATGCACAACTTATCAGTTTCACAATGTACTTGTACAGTTGAATAAATAAAAGATTAAATGTACAAATTTAACCGATTATCATATTAAGAAAAATATGACACATAAATGCTGTGATGAACCAAAATTGCTGTAAATACCACAGCTTACCTAAAGCGTAAATAGTACAACACAACTACTACAACATAAAAATTAGGTTATATCATAGAATAGACCATAGACTACCGAATAGACCTCAGAGTAATAAGTAAAGGGGAGGCCGCATTCCCTATTTCAGTACACAATGTAAACATGTAACCTCAACCTATTGTATGTTGTTAAACAAATGATACATAAGTAAACACAATGGTCCCTGGTACAGTGGCGTACCGAGGTTAGGTTTAAAATCTCATAATATAAGGAAACCATAAAAATTATACTTTTTAATAGAATAAAATCAGAAGTGCTCGATTATTTAAGCTTTCATGTGTAATAAATAGACAATAAATAGGAAAAAGTTAATGGTTTCTTCAAAATCTATAATTAATATTTTAAAAACGTTTCTAGAACAAAAGTGACTAAAGAAAACTCCTCCATTGAAACTATCATTATACTATAGCTATAGCAATGTCATTGCCTACTATTGGTTCTATTATTTCATAGTAGTTCTCGATTACTGGAAGAACTATATTTATTAAAATAAATAATTTAAATAAAACTACAAGAAAAGAAGCAAAAATATATTTCATTAAAATCTGCTGGAATATAAACAATGCAAAGAAAACAAAACATATTTGTACTAAAAGTAACAGAAAAATGAATTTACATTGAACAACATTTAATCATATGGGAAAATAAACACGTTTTAAATGTACGCAACAAAAATAAGCTAAATTTTGAGCTCATAACATTGACAGCTCGTCTCTTATGGAGCAGGGACAACATGTGATTGAAGACGTTTTATAGCAACATATATAAAATTTCCTTCACTGGCAATTTCTCGAAGGGGGGAACCTTTGAGACGGCACAACCATTTCATCAACACTGCTAAAACGTATTACCTTCCAAATGTTGTATTAATAGAGACAGCTCCATGTGTGAGACATCGTTTTCCAGTTACTGTTACCTTAATATCTGTAGCACGAAAATGCTTCGACTGACATAATTATCCTTTGAAAAATCATATTCAGATATGGCGAAATTTTCTAGCTACACTGCTCGTATCGCAGGATCTTATGGTATTCTACAAATAAACACAGAGCTAGTGTCAGTATCAAAATACAAACATAATAAATTAACAAATAAAATGCTTAGGACACCTTACACCCTTGTAAGAACGCCCATGAAAACAATGTCAAACTTACTTGTGAAAAGAAGTAGCACATATTTGGCTCTTTTCCCGTAATTGTCGGCATATTATACGCCGCTTTGGCATTTTTATTGGAATTAAATAAAAAAACAGTTTAAAAAGACACAAAACACTGAACTCGGCTTATATCTATTTCACAACAATAGATTGTAATAATGGCGTCCCCTTTAGAACCGTTTAATACCAGGCAATGATGCCATTTACGGCGTTTGTATTGCTAGGAATTTCAATAATGTATTTTTTTTTCAGATATTCAAGATCTATAATTATAAAACAAGTTGCAAGAAAATAGTGTCGTAGTCTTATGTATATTACAATGTAACTAATTTGTAAGTCGAGGTCAAGAATGAGGTAGATNAACACAATGGTCCCTGGTACAGTGGCGTACCGAGTTTAGGTTTAAAATCTATCATAATATAAGGAAACCATAAAAATTATACTTTTTAATAGAATAAAATCAGAAGTGCTCGATTATTTAAGCTTTCATGTGTAATAAATAGACAATAAATAGGAAAAAGTTAATGGTTTCTTCAAAATCTATAATTAATATTTTAAAAACGTTTCTAGAACAAAAGTGACTAAAGAAAACTCCTCCATTGAAACTATCATTATACTATAGCTATAGCAATGTCATTGCCTACTATTGGTTCTATTATTTCATAGTAGTTCTCGATTACTGGAAGAACTATATTTATTAAAATAAATAATTTAAATAAAACTACAAGAAAAGAAGCAAAAATATATTTCATTAAAATCTGCTGGAATATAAACAATGCAAAGAAAACAAAACATATTTGTACTAAAAGTAACAGAAAAATGAATTTACATTGAACAACATTTAATCATATGGGAAAATAAACACGTTTTAAATGTACGCAACAAAAATAAGCTAAATTTTGAGCTCATAACATTGACAGCTCGTCTCTTATGGAGCAGGGACAACATGTGATTGAAGACGTTTTATAGCAACATATATAAAATTTCCTTCACTGGCAATTTCTCGAAGGGGGGAACCTTTGAGACGGCACAACCATTTCATCAACACTGCTAAAACGTATTACCTTCCAAATGTTGTATTAATAGAGACAGCTCCATGTGTGAGACATCGTTTTCCAGTTACTGTTACCTTAATATCTGTAGCACGAAAATGCTTCGACTGACATAATTATCCTTTGAAAAATCATATTCAGATATGGCGAAATTTTCTAGCTACACTGCTCGTATCGCAGGATCTTATGGTATTCTACAAATAAACACAGAGCTAGTGTCAGTATCAAAATACAAACATAATAAATTAACAAATAAAATGCTTAGGACACCTTACACCCTTGTAAGAACGCCCATGAAAACAATGTCAAACTTACTTGTGAAAAGAAGTAGCACATATTTGGCTCTTTTCCCGTAATTGTCGGCATATTATACGCCGCTTTGGCATTTTTATTGGAATTAAATAAAAAAACAGTTTAAAAAGACACAAAACACTGAACTCGGCTTATATCTATTTCACAACAATAGACTGTAATAATGGCGTCCCCTTTAGAACCGTTTAATACTAGGCAATGATGCCACTTACGGCGTTTGTATTGCTAGGAATTTCAATAATGTATTTTTTTTTCAGATATTCAAGATCTATAATTATAAAACAAGTTGCAAGAAAATAGTGTCGTAGTCTTATGTATATTACAATGTAACTAATTTGTAAGTCGAGGTCAAGAATGAGGTAGATTCTTGTACGATAATCAATGAAAATGACCGCTGTACCTAACTATAAAGATAAAAATGTAACATTGGCATCAACGTCAAGGACGTCACAAGTACCAATGTTTGTAATTACACATATGTCAACACTTCACTATCGAATGTAAATAAAGGCGTCCCCTTTATTTATTAGTCTCAGGAATAGACCTTACCACAGCCTCCAACTGTAGGAGGCTGTGACCTTACCAATTACCATAGACCTAATAAAGTAAAGGTGGGTCGCTCATGAACGGCTCACACGAATGTTCTGGCACTTACAATAATCTTGTGCCTCATTCCGCCATTAATATATTTCAGATTTGAGCGAGCATTGAACACTGAGCACCCGATACTCGACTGCGCTACCAGAAATTACAAACGATAGAATCTCGAGTAAATCCCTTCATTTATGTAATGTCGAAGTAGATAACAAAAAAAAACTTTTTTTTTTGTTGCTATTGGTAAAATGCAAAGAGCGCCGACCAAACACCTGCAAACGAGTAAATCATTATGTGAAATAATAATAAATATTTGTCAAACTCAAAACATTTTTTGTAGATATGCCACCTCCCACTAGTGTAAATTCAGTGGCGTAACCAGGGGGGCTTTGGGGGGTCAACGATCTGTCGCGCGATTTTTATCATAGCCGTAGCCGCTAGCGCCGGCCACATGATGCACGGACGGACCTCGGCATCAGTCAAGATTCCTAAAGGGACAGGGTGCCTGACTTTCTACGTCACTGGGTATGCCGATCGCATCGCGTACTTGATAAGTGCATCTCGGTCTGTCATAATTTGTGTTGAGCTGAGAGTCTGTACATGGTAATCTGTGCTGTACATATTTTGTGGTTAAACATTTTGATTTTAGCTATTTTCTGTTGTGATTTTTGAGATATTTTAGTCTAAAAATGTTTAGTTCCTTTTTATGTTTTTTTTTATATCTACACTTTTATTTGAAGTTACCAAATATAAAACCATTTATATACTATAAAAAAACAATATATTATAAATATAAACAACTTTTATATCTAATAAACTAATATTTTCATTTTAAAACCGTTTTACTGCAAATTTTAAGAATTTTTTAGCCCCCTCAACTTTACATTCTGGTTACGCCACTGTGCACATTCAGCACAGTCACAGCTCTGAAGAGCAAGAGTCGATCGTTTACTTGAGCTGTACCCGTCGTTCAAATGAACGACTCACCCACGAGCGACCCAGCTTTACTTCGTTAGCATGTCTATCTACAGGGTATTAAAAAAGGGTGTAAAATATTTAAGGAGGTAATAGTATGAACCAAAATAAGCAGAAAAGTCTCAATAAACATGGGTCCGCAAAGTAACGGTTGTGGAGATATGGACCACTATTCGTTTTTCAAACATTTTATTTTATTTTCACGTTTTTCATTAAACATTTGNCAAACAATAACAATATTATCATGACATTACTAATTGTCACTGTCACGGCCTACCATATAACATTATCCATGAGTTATTGGCCTCACACGGTCTAATTAGTGTGATTTAGTAAAAATAAAATATATATTGCAACTAAATCTAAATCCTTACGTAATTGGAAAAAAGGCAGAAATGCTTGAAAGAGGTCTAACAATTACAAGATGTCTTATTTTTTTAATAAAAAACCTACTTTTCGTTTTTTAATATTATCTCGCATATTGGATGGACCCAACAAACCCGATATGACTATGCTCGACAGGGAACGTTCTATCCAAGTATGTAAAAATATACTGGGTGTATTTAAATGAACAAAGTTAGCATCCGCGACCATTTTGTTTGAACTTCATTTCTTTCTCTACTATCATTTTTGAAAACTTCATAAAAAATCGTGCAACTGTTGTATTTTAAGCAAGTAAATAATTTTTAACGTTATCATATTGAAGCTTAATTATTTTGGCGTATTAACATTTTCTCAAGAAAATAATTTATCTATGTAGATGTAGATACTAGGCCCACATCTAACAAGACCTGCCTATAAAAGGACGAAATATTTTGATCAAAGCNTTTTTATTATTTAGATTTATGATTTTTATTTGTTGGTTATGTTTTTTCGGTTATCTTGTTCACTTACTAACCACCAGCTCATAGCT